GCTTGGTCTGGTGTATTTATATCGTGAAATGGGTAGTTGGTTAATCAAAAGTTTCATTCGCGTATACGAAGTCATTAGAGAAAAATAAAGTCTTCCACTTTTAGTATACGTCCAAGATATTCACGCACCATCAAATAGTAACAAATGGTACAATTTTGTGAAAACCATTTGTTCAATGTGGATGTTTCTTTTTGTGAATGCAAGGAATAGAAATATTGCAGCTGTTTTACTTCCCAAGTATTGTAGTCGCTAATAATTCCGAAAATAATAAGTTTTTGGATGACATGCACATCATGAAAAGTAATAACAATAATATTAAAAATATTGAATGGGCTTTATTTCATAAGCAGGTACAAAAAAAGCAGCGTTTTTCATCTTAACCTTTCAAACAAAAAAATATATAATATACTGAATTGATATGCAGTAATAACTAATTAATTAACACGCACGAAAATTTAAACAATTATAAGAATAGTCCATATTTCCAGCATTTTGTGTTCATCATCAGACCTCGGCGTGCAGCTTCAGCTTATGTCTCTTTTTAAAAATTAAATAGTTTGTGTTTTTTTGTAGACAGCTTTAGAATATGTCTATTCCTTCTATTTAGTTGATTTATGTCATTTCACCGCGGTAACTTCTTACGCAAATATCGTGGTTGTTTGGTGGCTAACATCTTATGTGTAAGTGTCAATGAGTGGAGTTTTTGGATGCCTTTGGAGGATCAAATTTTCATATTCCGCAAGAGAATCTTAGGCACTAATTAGGAATACGCCGTAATTTGCTTTGTTTACTATATGATAGCGCGGGTCCGTATACAGGGTGACGCATCGAAAACGACGCATTTACTGGCAGCTCAGTTTTTTTTGGACAAACGCTCAGACCCGTCGATAGTTTTTTTCGAGGGGGACACACGTTTGGCACAAAATCACGTTAACACGTGCAGCCCCCTGGGCGGGGGTGACACCACCCCTAAAAGCTTAAATGGAAAGGGGGGTCGAGTGATACCTTATTTTAAAGGTCTTTCAATTCCCTTCATAATGATGTAAAGTACATGAGCTTCAGTTGAGCAGTTTTGATGATTTATTGATTTAAAGCTTAAAGTAGACTTTAATAGGTACATCAGATTAGTTTGTACCTACTACTTTCAGAAGAAATTTGACTAAAAGAATTTATTTAATAAGTAAATGTTTTTCTTCGCTACGCCCATGGTTTGGTTATCATTTTGTTGTTAAAAACAGCTATTGGAGCGTTTTTTGTGGCTAAAAAGTTATTTCTTGAAGAAAGATAATGAAATATCTCGTACTTATTTTGAATAGGAATTTAGTACATAGTTTGCGATTGATTCGACCAAACTTTGTTGCTGAAATAACTTGTAACGCTTTATTATATAAATTAACCACGGTATATTCCACATCAGAAAGAGTTGAGATTATCGAAATATTTTTCGGAAATAATCAGTGCGCTAATAGAACAGCAGAAATTTTTAATGAGCGACATGAGAACAGTAATGTGCATCGAAAATATGCTCTAGAACTTATAGCTAAATTTCGGAAAACTAGGTCAGTCGCCAATAAAAAACTCAACATTGAAAATCCCATAAGGAACGAAGCAATAGAAGTGAGGGTTTTAGGACAAGTTTATGTAGATCCGACGTTGAGTACTCGCAAATTGGAGATTGTGTGTGGTGTTAGTCGACGTACTGTCCAACGGATTCTCAAGGCCCATAGTTGTCATCCGTATAAAATTCACCTGGTACAAGAACTTAATGAAGACGATTTTGATCGGCGATTACAATTTTGTGAAGATATGAGTGAACGAATATAAACGATGAACATTTTCTATTCAACACTTGCTTTTCCGACGAATGTTCCTTTTTCTTAAATGGCGTAGTAAATCGTCATAACTACCGATATTGGTCCGATTCTAATCCCAGAATTTATCATGCGGTTGATACACAGCAGCCACAAAAATTAAATGTTCAGACTGGTATTTTTGGGGATCATTTAGTTGGTCCTTTCTTCGTACCTGGAAATTTGACCGGTGAAATGTATTTGGAATTACTGGAAGACGCCATAGCTCCTGCATTAACAGTCATAATTGAAAATCAGAATGATCGGCGGTACATCGCGAATAGGTTGATGTTCCAACAGGATGGTGCCCCACTACATTACGCATTACGTGTTCGACAATATTTAGATCAGACGTTTCCGGATCGATGGATTGGTAGAAGAGGTACCATTGAATGGCCCCCAAGATCGCCAGATTTCTCACCTTTGGATTTCTTTATGTGGGGTCATTTAAAAAGCAAAATCTATGGTACTCAGCCAACATCATTAGAAGACCTGCGACAAAGAATTGTGAAGGAGTGCCTTCAAATTACTCCTCAAATATTGCAAAATGTGCGGCAACGTTTTGGGCAAAATCTTTATTATTGCATGGAGAGTCATGGTGGCCATTTTCAACATTTACTTGCCTAACGGGTCAGTTCGTTCTTTATTTTTAAATTACTTTGCTGTCAAATGTATTGATCTCCACTAATGATGATGTATTAGTTTTATTTAAGCTTTACATCAATAAATCTTCAAAACTACTGAACTGAAGTACATTAATTTTATATCATTATAAAGGGAATTGAAAGACCTTTAAAATAAGGCATCACTCGACCCCCCTTTCCATTTAAGATTTGGGGGTGGTGTCACCCCCGCTTAGGGGGCTGCACGTGCTAACGTGATTTTTTGCCAAACTTGTGACCCCTCGAAAACAAAATCGACGGGACTGATTTTTGACATAATTAATGTTTCACACAGCTCCAGTTTGAGTGAAGTAGACATAATTTGTCAATGCAGATTAAATTGCTTCAAAATGCAGTATTATGCACTTGTCTGCCAGTCCCAAGTTTTTATACTCACTCATCATAGGAAGTATTTTTTTGGTTATTTGAGCTGAAAATCGTAAATGAAGATTTAGATGGATTAATTGTTAGGTTATGCGACAGATTGATGGAAATCTGATATATACAGAAAGAAAGGTTAATGACCAAATAGGGAACCTCGAGGAACACCTTACAGCAGTTGACCCCGTCATTTTTGAAGCTTTTAGTACCTTTTGATTTGTATTTGACAAATAACAGCGTATCATTGACTGTAACGTCAGTACAGTTATAGTAAGATGTTTCAAGTAGCAAAATTTCAGGGTATATAATACCAAACGTTTTTGAGTAATCAAGAACAACCAATATGTAACATTTCCTTGTTCAAGACCTCATATAACGTCATCAATGATATTGGCCAGAGCCGTTGCTGTGCTATGATGTTCCGTGGACCCCGACTGTATTGGTGGAATTATTTCATTACTGAAAATATACTCGGATATTTGTATCTTTATCTCTGGTTCCAAAGGCTTTGAAAATACGGGAAGTAAGCTGACTGATCTAAATTGCATTACAGATGTGGGAATCGGTACTTTAGGAATAAGTATGACAAGTGATTGATAATAAATGTAATGTTGTAGAAAAGTAATATGAAAACCGATCTAGTATTTTTTAACGTTCCACAGGCTGCTGATCATTTTAAAAAAATGTTGGAGTTGAAAATTGGAGAAATTATTTGGCTCTAGAGTGTTGTTAAAGTTGCATCTCTGGGATCAGTGTTACCCTGGTGCCAGGGGGGTGGTTGTAGATGCACTTCCCTGCACGATGAATGTTACTTCTGGGGTTCAAAGTGGTTGTTGATTTGGAGGATTAGGGCGCTGGGGGAAATGAAAAGATTGCCAATTTCCAGAGCTTGCCCAAAAATCTATTTAACTATTTTTAATAAATCACCTGAAGGGTGCTATTACAAAGTTTGCAACAAACTACCTGAAGGGTGCTATGACAAGGTTTGCAACAAACTACCTGAAGGGTGCTATGACAGGATTTTCAAGTATTCAAAATGATCACAGTAAGCTCAAAATTTCACTTTGCAATGGTTAATCGATCACCTAACAACAAATGAAAACGAACATTAGTGACTTACCAAGTTTTCGGGGGTATGCATACCTCAGTATCACACCAGCTGTGAAATTAGGATAAATAATTCATATCAAGTGAAATTAGCTGCTTAAGTATATAGATGCAGATCGACGGGGTTTCAGCACATGGCGTCTGTGGACAGTGGCAACAGCTGAATCAGCTCCCTTCCTCAGGGGCTGCTTGGAACTCTCATTACAGGGCAGGGCGTGGAAAAGTCGTCAGGGCTTCATCTGAAGGTATCAGCAGTAGTTTGGTGGAGAAAACGTAAGGTGAAGAAGACGAAAAGTTAGAAGAAGATGAAAAAAGAAAAGAAAGGCCTGACACAAAAATCCAATATGGCGCCGGGTTCCATTTTAACGCAATCCGAATTGCTTACCTCTGTTGAAGTGTGGCCTAAAAGTGTCGGCTAGAATGCCGTAAAAGCGTCGAAGACTCCCGTCTCCCACATACCCGTAGGATTATATGAGACATAAAAAGGAAGAACGCTTAGACTTCATTTGGCGTAAAGATCCGCAAAATGCGTGCTTCTCAACAGAGCTACGACCAAAAAGTGAAGTCTCTTCAGCTTGGACACGGAACACAAAGTTCGAGAGGAGCAATGGAGCAATGGAGCAATGGAACAACAGCGGACTGTTCCCGGACTGAAAGGACCGAACACTTGTCAAAATGTAACATTGAGGTTAGGAAAGAAACGAAGACGTAAACAATTCTCAGATGAAGGGGCCCCAACTACAAAATGAGATAATAGGTGGAGAGTTACGTATAAACCATAGAGAAAATCTTCAGGTAGTTAAACTAGAAATATGTCTACCCTTGTTTAGTGTTTACGGTTATTGCAGGGTCACGGCAGTTCCTACAAGGTTTTCAAATTAAACCCGTAACATCAGTAGAAGACGTTTTATGATTTATTACCTAGAAATTTATGATTCCAAAATTATTGCCAACTCCACAAAATATCACAAGTACTTACATAATATTTACGGCGGTTACTTCAGACACCAACTACCCATGGAAACGCGATATCCTTTCCTTGCGGAGGGTCCGATCCGTATTCAGCAATGCCAACGATGTCCAGCCTCAGCATGGTCCAAGTCGTCAACGACACGCGAGCGTATGGAGGTTGTCCAGACATTATGCAGCAGAGCTGATTATTCCAAAAAAATAAATAAACTACATTTCAATCATACCCATTCTACAGCATCACCAGCTAGAAAGGTGTCTATGGGCCGTGAATATACCAGAACGTACTCAATTTGAGTCAAATACGATGTAAGGCTTATTTTTTCTTCAAATTTGAGACACATTCTGGAGAGCAGCAGCTACGTTTTGAGTTGAGGCTGAAAGCACATTATACTATTACCTTTCTGCAATTTTTGTTTTGTTTTTTGGTTTGCCCTATCTTTTGTACTAGATCGCATTGCCAAAGTAGAATTTGGATTATATGTGGTAACGGAAGTTTCTCACTTATAGATGGCAGGACGAGAAACAAGAACGCATGTGAGTTTTCTGATTGTGCGTTTGAGTTAATTTAAGTATACTAAGTGACATATAAATCCGAACACCCAGTTTAAATGGTTTTATTTTAATAAAATTTTGTATAAGTACTTAATGAAGCATAATAAGTAAATGATAAAAATTTCAAAATAATTGCACTGCTTTAAATCCCTTTGACCTTTAATAATGTGTGGATGCACCCTGATGTGCTACGCATTCTCCAACGCGCCTAGGCATGCTTCTGATCAGGTGGTCAATGTCCTCCTGTGTTATCTCATTCCAGGCAACCACCAACTCCTCTCGAAATGATTCTAGAGTCTGAGGAGGACGTTGCAAATTGAGCAATCTCCTACCCATCATATCCCACACGTGCTCAATTGGGGATAAGTCGGGAGATCTTGGTGGCCATGGTAACAATGTGACATCATTATGTTGAAAGAAGTCTATTGTGACTCTTGCAACATGTGGTCGGGCATTATCTTGTTGGAAAGTTGGATCTTCCAGGGTGTCAAGATAGGGTAGAAGATGGGGTTCTAGAGCTTCGTGGATATAACGCTGCGCGTTCATGTTACCTCTGATGAAGATTAAAGGTGACCTGGAACCATAAGCTATAGCACCCCAACACATAACTCCAACAGTGTGATGAACATGTCTTTCAACAAAAAACTGTGGATTCCTCCTTTCACCACGTCGCCTTCTAACCCTGGCACGACCATCGTGCATGCCTAAACAAAATCGAAACTCGTCACTAAAGACAATAATACTGTTCCATTCCTGATCCCAGAGTGACCGTTGTCTGCACCACTCAAGGCGATAACGTCGGTGTTCTCGAGTTAAAGGGAGGACCCAGTGTGGCCGGTATGAAAACAAGCCAAAACTTCTCATTCGTCGGTAAACACTTCGCATGCCAATAGGTCTACCGTGTTCTGCAAACCATTCATTTGCAATGGACCTGGTAGTGGAGAAACGGTCCCTTAAGGCCAATAATCTTAGGCGGCGATCTTCACGGTCTGTTGTTCTACGGCGGCGTCCAGTGCCCCTTGCTCTTTGCGTACGGCCTTCTCGAAGCCATGCCTGACAACACCTAACCACAGTGTGTACACTTCTTTGCACTCTAACTGCAATTGCCCGAAAAGAAGGTCCAGCTTCCCGAAGTCCCACTATACGGCCCCTATCAAACTCACTAAGTTGACGAAATCGTACAGGTCTCCGTACTCTAGGCATCGTAACCGATCGTAAAGGATGTCAAGAACGAAAATCCGCCAACGTTGATTCTTTACTGCGGCTGAAGTATTCATTTTTAGAGCGTTAGTGAATTAAAAAAAAGCAGTATAAAAACCGGAATGTCCAACTGATAAGGCTGAAAATTTTTTCACTTGTTATTTACAGTAAGATAAATACATTCACCAACTTTTATTAAAATAAAACCATTTAAACTGGGTGTTCGGATTTATATGTCACTTAGTATATTTAGGTCTTGTCTCTTTCTTATTAATATTTATTTGGAACGGATTGTTAGCCTAAGCCAATGACACCCAAGTATCTAAATGAATTTGATAAACACTTTGGTGCAGAAAAGTACGATTGCTGAACCTTTCCAAAATCATTTGTATTATATGTGAAACAGTACTTTAGCATAAGCTTCAACCATATCCGAGTTGTGATTCATACTCGAGATATATGCTTCTAAATCTGGTTTCTGCATTAAATAGCCACAGCACGGATATCACGTTCTAGCAATAAATAGCTTGGGATTTTGGTGCGTCACAGACTCGTCCCGTATGCTAATATTTTATTTAAGATTACATCAAGCGTATACTTCATAAAATATTCCTGAAACGCACTAGATATTCGTCACTCGATTCTCCCATATTTTTGTAAAAATTATGAGGTGTGTTTACTGTCTCTGTACGTGCAGTCTGGAGTGTCTATACAGCGACTAACCTGTATCAGAAAATGCAGAAGTAGAACTCCCTAACCAAATATTTGTTACCGATGCCTTCAAGAGCGATAATTTAATTATTGTTATTGGTTTGGAGTTGTTTACGTCTAGTACGTGTTTTGTTTACTTTTAAGGAAAGATCACGTAGAAAGAGGGTCCTGAGGCCCCTTCGGGGCATCGACACGAAACAGACATTCCAACAAAAAGGCGGTACGCATGGTTTGACCCGTCGGAGCTTCGTAACCAATAATATTCCTGACAATTTAATCAATTCATCATTTTTACGGTTTATTACATATTGATTATTTGAATTTAATGATATTCAAAATTATGGTGCCAAAAACAAACAAAAAAATCCTGCGAGACGTGAGACTAATGACAAAACACTGAAACAAAACATTTTTCACAGTCACTGTGAAATATTTGAATTCAAATTATAAAAAATATCTGTGCCTTCTATGCTTTAAAATTTCTAGTTGAGTATTTCAGTAATAGTGGCGTATTTATTATACCAGTAATATGCCACTAGTTTCACGAATCGGTCTCAAGCTGGTTTTGTAAGCCACAAAAAACTGGAAGACATTTATAAGCATTGTTTACATTTTTTGGTGTATTGTTAGGTGTTAAAAACAGTCCTGTCCCATTCTTCAAACTTTGCCGACGATGAGTTGTTTTAGGGCTTAAAAGCCTTGGGATATTTTAGTCGTACTGAAAAAAAATCTGTTCGGTATCTGGTTTTTGCAGACAAATCTTCATTCAACAGTAAATTTTCACAACTTTTATGAAAACCAAAGTTCCCTAGCCTGTGATTAAAACACTGGCCCGGGAACACTAACACAATATTTAAAATGTGAATTTTAATTTCAATGAATTCAACAATTCAAATTAAGTATTTTCACAAAATTTTTGATCAAACGTACATTCGTTACACTATGTGGTGTATTAGATATGATTTTGTTTTGTAGTCATGCACATCATTTGTGATCAGAATTTTTGTATTACACTTTTGCTGGTTATTTAAAGTTTTGAAAATTATACATTGTTCCAAACTTACCTATTTTAAATAAAATTCAATTCACATTATCACTGTTGGCAAGTCGGTCATAGTTGAAAAAAAATCTCAATATTCTGTTTTGCAAAACATTTTACTTTCTATTCATATTAGACGAAACTACCCCTAGTTGTGAAACAATTGTAAAGTCTGGTTTTATTGCCGCAAGTTGTTCAAGGGGGTATTCAAAACATGGACGCATAAAATGGGTACCCCAATTTTTGTGGGAAAACTTTTTATTCGACAACAAAGAATGAGAAACGTGTTCTTTGGGATTCAATGGTCAAAAGTGTTGGCACGAACGAAAAAACTCTTCAAGTAAGTAAGACTTTTAAGTAAAAAATGAGACCTACAAAATGAGACCACGCGTAAAAAGATCCGACTAATAGCAAAATAGTTATGGCCAAAAACCGAGGCAAACTGCAGGTTTTGGCACTTGTTGGTAATGCGACGATGGTTTTTCGCAGATATTTGAAATTCTTTTAGTTTGTAGGATTCGTGCTAATGAACAACCACAACAAAATTGAAGTAGTTTTTGAGAATTTCTAATTGTTTATCCCAAAACACCTGTTTTCCGGCCATCGCTACTAGTTTATTGAGCTATATTTAGGCTTAGTTCAAAGAGCATTTTATAGCAAAATAGACTAGTTTACCTTGCCGATATGAATCGCAAGCCATTCCGGAAGATAAATGTTATTTTTATACAAAAAAGGATGGGTTATGTTTTTTCCTCTAAACAAATTCAAACATTTCGCATTTGTTGTAAGGTCTCATTTAGTAGGACTCATAAATACCTAAAAATCTTTTATCAAAAGTGTTTTCGTTCCTGTCTACACTTTCGAAAGAATCCCAAAAAAGACGTTTCCTCTTTCTTTGTTGTCGAGTAAAAAGTTTTCCCACAAAAATTGATGTACCCATTTTATGTGCCCATATTTTAAATACCCGCTTGAACAACTTGCAACAATCAAACCAGACTTTACAATTATTTTTGGGAAATTTGTTAATATGATTAGCCTATAAGTAAACGCTTCCGCTACAGTGCTGAACGCCATCTTAGTACATCTTTTAATGGAATGTAGGCTATTTCTTACCTCATTTTGAAGCTTGTTATAAGTAAATTGTATAGCCTAATAATATAAATTTACTGGTCAGGCAGGCCGTCAAAGTTTAGAGTTTTCGTATATTGAATCGATGATAAATCAACAACGAAACATCAAAACGCTGTTGTATGTTATATAACTCATCTCTTCTTGAGGAGACATATCCAAATGTGCGATAACATTATGGAACACTCGTCTTAAACAAAATACCGAAATCTATTAATATCCTAACAGAAATGTCCCAGATATGATTACATACGAGGGATGTCTTTTGAGTTTTGCATATCTAAATAAAACAAGACGGTAGGTAGTTTTAAATGACTTTATTGTTTTTCGAAGTATTCTCCACAAAGATTAATATACATCTGCAGGCGCTCTAACCAATTTTCGAAGCACTTATTCCACTCGTTTGCTGGCAGATCCAAAACGACATTTTTGAATGCATCAACTGCTTCTTCTGGTGACTGGAACCTTTGACCACCCAGACTGTTTTTAATTTTCGGGAAAGTAAAGCAAGCGTTAGGACTTAGATCGGGACTATATGGAGGATGGTCCAA